AACATTAATTAAATCATTCAATTTATGGACACTAAAGCAAATAATGAAAGAAATATATCTTTTCTTTAATGTATACTATATTGGAATGGATAAAATTACTATTATGATGTTATTATTTGTTTAATCTTTTTCTTGTTTACACTCTTCGTAAATCTGGTGTTGTGTACGTTTGCTTAATTTATACAGTCTCTCTGGTGCCACGGAAGAATCATATTCTTGAAGTTAAAACTTGAAATCAGAAATATTATTCATGGTAAGAAATTTTCCGGGTAGACTTTTTTTTTGCTTTTGTCTTTTTTTTTTATTTTTCAGGCAGGAAAAAAACTTTTAAGCTCATTATAAAACATATGTTACAATGATAATAACATTTGTTAAAAATTACAGTGTGTTAGATAACGAATGAAATAGCAAGGAAGTATTGAGACAAATTTAATTTCGTGACACTGTCAGACATCGCAAAGGCAAGAAATAAATTCCTCAAATATACTTTCAGTACATTATAAATATAAGCATGATTAACATATCTATTTATATATTTATAGTACTCACACCAAGGAATACTTGGAAATCTAAAATGAACCATTAAATTTTTATTTTTTAAATATAACGAAACAAACAATATTTTTTTTTTATTCCAATTGCTAAAAACAGATACGCTTGTATCAAAAGAGCTATTTTATTTACAAATTAGATTAGTCTTGCTTGTATTTGGTGTTAGAAACCCTGCTTCTTGCCTCTGTTTGTCACGCCCTGCACGTGATTTTTTTTAAAACTTCGCGATGAACCAGTACATCGATGAATCAATACATTGTTTGGAAATAAAGAACATTAATTAATGTAATTTTATTTTGAATAAAGACATTGGAAATGTTAATATAAGATGTTAAATGATTTCTAATGCATTTCCGACTGGAACTTTTTAATAAGTGGCTTTTGCCAAGATTGATTACCCATCGCTTTATGCCGAGATTGCAATATTTCAAGCATATATCAACAGTTAAAGATTAAAAAATCTTATTAATGATTTCAGTTTCAAACTGGTAACTTTGAGAATATTTGAAACTATGTTGCAATGGACAATTTATTCCGCGCAATGATGGTATTTTTTTAGACAAAGAAAAATATTGCATGGAATGCACAATACATATCCGCGTATTCATTTCTTCACCTTTTAAACATTTTATGACGACCAAGAATAGGGCCAAGATTTGATAAATCATTTAATAAAGTTGGTTTGTGAAACACTTATGCTCCGAATCAACTTATAGAGTAGGTTAAATTTTCTCAAATGCACATCAAATGTGTAACACAATCAATTTAAAAAAATAAGTAATAACTACAGCAAAGCTCGTTGCTAAGCTACGTGTAGGTCTTCCGTCCTGTTTGACCGGAAGTAGCTTTCATTTTCAACAGAAATGTGAAATAACGCCAAAAAATGCTTTGAATCCTCTAAAGCGAAGTTAATTAATGCGAAAATAAGCCAATTTTTGCTTTTTCCGGTTTGACCGGAAGTAACGACGATGGACGGAAAATTAATTTTTAAGCTTCCAGGGACATATGTTACCCAAAAACTTGTCAAGAACGGCAAAAATACGCGTTTTTCAACTTCTTCCGGTTTGGCTGGAAGTGACGACGCTGGACGTATTTTGACAACTCGAGTAGATTGAAGTTGACATTTTGAACAACTTTGCTTCATTGACGTATTACAGATTTTTAATACTTTTTGAAAAATAAATGAAAAACTTTCGTCCCCTGTAGGTCTTCATTTTTAGGAGCCAGCCCTTTTTTGGAGATATCAGTTGACAGATCGACGTGTAATTTTACACTTCTATTGTTGTACAAGTCTTAAAAAAATATTTCTAGGAAAATGAAGTTTTCGTTGAAAAGGTGTCAAAATTTATGAAATTCTTGATAGGACTATTTTCGGGCCATAGCGAGCGTCGGCGCTTCGTACTTCCGCTGACAATGATATGCTCATTGCACTTCTCCTAAGGTTGCTCTATCATCACTGAAAATTTCATACATCTATCTTCAACAGTTTTTTAGAACATTGCTGGACAAAGTGACCCTCTAAAAATGACAAAATCGCGAAAATCTCCGAACCGGAAGTGACGTCATCAAAATAAAAAATGGATCTAGATTTTTTGATGTTCTGTCAGACCTGAAGGTTTCTTGAAAATCCATTGAGCCGTTTCCGAGAACTTGCGTAAGAAAAAAATGGTAAGTAGATGAGATCTCGTTGCAAGCAAAGATTAGTTTTTCCGTTGAATTTTTCGATGAGATGAGATGTGGTTTTGACTGAGATATTCGTTAAAAGCGAATGTCATTAAAGATTTTCTTCATTAAATTTAAAGTTTCTGATTTATATCAAGATATCTTCAACATCTTTTGTTCAATATGGCTTATGAAAATACTCCCCCTTTTCAAGATGTACAGCATCAAGGACATAGCATTCTGGTCCCTCGCAACCCCTCATTACGTGATCTAAATTCTATCATATATTGTTGCAAATCGTTAAGATAAATACCTTTGCTTCAGTAATGTATTACAAAATATTAATCATAAGAGAGTTAGAGATGAATGTCATTAGGTCTCTTTGAGCCCCTAATTCGAGGGGTCAGTCCTTTTTTCTTGATATCAAAGAAAGGTCTTGTCATTTTAAAGATTTTTTGTTCAACACTTATTTAGAGATTTCTTTTCCTTGTGGACATATGCTGAATGGAAATATTTAGGGACCAAGTCCTCAATGGGGCCGTTTTACAAAAATCCAAAGTATGCATATTGTTTAGAACATTATTCTGATCATCATTTGTTGAATATTTTATCAAAATATTGCCCCTTCTTTATATATAAAGCGTGAAAGATTGACATTCTGGTCCCTTTTGACCTTTAATTACGTACATGTAACATATGATCCAAATGTTATCTTATATTGTTGCAAATCGTTAACACGAATGCCTTTTCTTCAGTAATGCATAACAAAATATTGATCGTTATAGAGTTATAGATGAAAGACTTTTGGCCCCTTTGAGCCCCTAATTTGAGGAGTCAGCCCCTTTTCTTGATGTCAAATGAAGTCTTGTGATTTTGAATCAAAATAATTCCACTTTTTGAGATATAAAGCGTCAAAGATTTGATATTCTGGCTTCTTGTGACCCTTAAATACGTAACGTTTTATCTGAAATATATTACAAAATATTGATCAATAAAGAGATAAATGAAAGACTATTGGAATTCTGAGCCCTTGATTTGAAGGGGTCAGCGCCTTTTTCGTGATTTCATATGAAAGGTCCTGTAAATCTGTACAAGTTTTATTCTATATATTTTAACAAATTATGAATAGATACGAAGATATAAAACAAAACATGTCAAATTTTGTGAGATATTTCTGAGACATTTTTGGGGCTCTACCGAGCTTCGGAGCCTTTGGCGCTAAAAAGATTTGGATGCCTGCCTGCAATTCAGCAAACCTTTCCTTACTCTCAACGAAAATCTTGACCCAATATCTTCAGTCGTTTTGGAGGAGTTTCCAGGACAAGCCGACCTCCTAAAAAATCAGAAAATCGTCCATATCTCACGACCGGAAGTGACTTCATCACCGATTTATATTTCCTACAAGGTTCAGATGACTATCTATTAGTTCTGAGAGTTTGGTGAAAATCTATCGAGCCATATCTGAGAAGTCGCGTGCACAAAATCGGTAAGAAAAAAAGAATAATAATACGAAAAAAACGAACGAAAACAACAAGGAAACGAATGACCTTAATAAAGAAAATAGTGGAAAAGAAACCTAAGAAAAACAATAAGGTCTTCCGCTGAAGACAAAAGACCTTTAAGATACTACAAGTAATAAAACTAAAGCAAACCTCGCTGCAAAGCAACGAGTAGGTCAACCAGATGTAACTTTTCATAAAAAAAATAAGTAATGACGTGTCCAATGATTTAAATCCGCCAAATGTATGTTAATTATTGCAAAAATAGGTTATTTTGGCTACTTTCGGTTCGACCCGAAGTGACATCAACAGATGTAATATTCAGTTTTATGCTTTCAAATCATACAAATTATCGAAGATGTGTCAATTACGACAGAAATATGCATCTATACACCATAAAAGTTCGTAATATTGTCTATTGCATGTCATCTGTGTTACAGTACCCGTAATGTTATTCTTGACAATTCTATCGTGTCCTATCGTGCGTGTCTCCTATCGTATCTTGCTTGAATCCTATCGTATCGTGCATGTATCTTTCTTTATTCACGAAGTTCATTCATTATTTTAACCACTTTTTTTTTATATATGTGAATAATTCTAGATTGAAAATCACTTTCAATTTAAATAATTAGAAGGAACACATGAAAGAAATTGTTTTATTTTAGCTGAAAGCTTAAGGTACTTTTTTTCATCTATGGTAAAGTATTAGACATAAAAAAGTAATTTTTGTCAAATTAATCTAGACTTCAGCAAAACATTTCCGCTTTGTCCTGATCGCAGCTTGATAAAGAATAGAAATGAATAGCATAAGTTTTACATGAGATAAAGGACAAATTATGTGGACTTTATGTCTTCAATTGGATATAAAGAAGGGATGTTTTCAGTTAGCAATAAACACTTCCATTACATTATCGATTCGACATATCCGCCAGATAAAAATATAATAAATAAACCTGATAGTCTGAAACATTTGGTTTTTATTCTCTTTTCTCGTCAAAAAAAATTGTTGAATTTTTTGCGGGAAAAATTCTTCCTATGTATACATGTATCAATTTTGAACTCTGAGTATGGAAAAAGCAGGCAAACATTATTTTAAAGATGTCCTAACGTAATGAACATCAGAAGGGTTAAAAAGTTAAAGACCAGTTTCCCTTTTATTTACCACATCGTAGTATATTGATTTTGTCTTCAATAAATTGGATATACAAGAGAAAATTCTACAGAAAAGCTTTTTCTTATACGTAAAAAAGCTCATGAAAAAAAACTAATAAAAAAATGCTAATTTGATAATTGTATAGAATAAAAATACATGTTAAACAAAATATGCGCAGTTTCAAGAACCATCGATTTTACATATACCTTGATACTATAATTATCACTTTATACATTGTGATATCCAAGCACATTTGCAAACTATATATTGCCAATTTAAATTAAGTATTTTTTTCCTGTCTAAATAAAACCAAATCTAGACGTGATTATGCTTGGGTAAATTGTTCACTTCTTGACCTTCTTGAGATCTGTCATTTCATTTCATTGATTGTAGTATATACTCGTGCCAGTGCATTGAATATGATCACAAACAGCTTTATTCACCAGATGATATTCATCCTAAAAATTACATCAATAGATTAATCCATACAAATGTTGAGTACAGAGTAAATTAAGAAACTAATTTTGTAGATATCGTAACAATTTATAAGGGATTTCGAATGGAATGCCGGGTATTTAATATATATTTGTAACCGTTTGGATTAATTATTTAACAGGGACTTGAACTTGGCCTTTTCATTGTATAAATGACAAAACAACTGACGAGGTTGGAACAGAACTCCGGTCTTCTGACTTGAAGTTGTCTGACAGCAGTGAAGACGTCCACACAACCATCCATGTTGATCTGTTGTATCACGTTATGAACGGCACAGAAAACCCCACATAATGCTGCACCATCCCTGGTAAAAAATATATACGTCAGTTTAACAATAATTATGTGCATCAATTCTCCTCGTATTTTGTTTCGACATTTAATGTGATCTTAAAGAGCAAATCAAATTCTTAGATGACGCCCACTATACGTTGCAATTTATAAGTAGGATATGGAGATAACGAACAGTATAAAACTCAAGAATTTCAAAGACAAAACTTTAAAACATTTAAACCTAAAGATTGTTTATCAAAGTTAATGATTATTTCTGTATTAAACTATTAAGAAGTTAAAGTCTCTGACGTAAATAGACAACCTGCTAACAATTGTGATGGGAGTTTCTGTTTCAATATTTAGTGTGGCTGAGACCAGACTCCGAAGTTGAGATGTGTCAAGAGGGGTTCCGGAAGAATGTATGCTGATCTTCGGTTCTATTACTGTCACGGTATGAACCTCCTCTTCATTCTAAAGAACGAAGCTTGTTGTACTATTAAGAGTGCATGGCCGTTCTTTAATTTTTGATTCAAGAAAAAAAACTACTCTATTTAAACACGCATTTCCAAAAATACCTAAATAAATAAAATAGAAAAAAATATGTTGCTTAAGAAAGATTTAAAAAAAAAAACATGCACATTAAGTTATTCCTTCTTACATTTTTCTCCAGAATGTGAAGAGTAGTGCAGGTAAGGTCACTTTCAGATCTGTTTTGAATATGTATGGTGAAAGGGGGTACTGCATTTAAAGATGAAGGGCGTGGTAACCATGTTTTACTCTATATAAGAAAAAGAAAAATAGATTGATGCATTTAAATATTCTGCAAATAAACAGAAACCAGTAAAAAAAAAGTATACTCTGAGACAAGAAACAACTTTTAAAAAAAAATGTATGGAACATCTAACCTACCGGGGAAACAGATGTTGAAAGTCACTACCCTCTCAGGTAATTTAAGCACCATTAATCTTCTTTACTCACCTTTTCAATGGATTTATTTTTGTGGGATGGGTTGGGAACGGATCGATGTACATGTGGTTATCTGGATATTTTATACTTAATAATTTATTATAATTATTTTTGAATGTAGAAGATTGAACAAATATTGACCATCAGCTTATATCTTAAAAAGTAGTCAAAGGGAAAAATCAAGGGGAAAAAGTTTGATATTATATTGCATATATATTTAAAAAAAAATGAATGTTCTTCCAGGAGATAGGACATGTAGTGCCGCACAGATAAAACGGCTAAATGGACATTTAAGTATAATGTAGCAATCTGTTTATTTAAAAAAAAAAAAATCTGAAATGAGGTCAATTTCATACCAAAAAGAAGAAAAATAAAATAATCAGGGAACGGCAAAATATTAATTTTACTTTATATCACCTTCATCTTTAAGCTGATAAAGAATTATCATGTTCTTTTTGTTTATTTGGTTTTGAATTATTATATCATTTTATTTCTTTTTTTACTCTCCTGTATTGTATTTAATAAGAATATCAGCTTTCTTGTTTAAAGTCATCATTTCGTAAGTTCTATGGTTGATACAATGACCTTGTCAGCGACTACGGTTTATCATTAAGTATAAGTCAATTGCTGACTGATATTTTTCATACTCATTGTTAGTGCATTATTTAAACATTGAATTTACGACAGATTTCTCCTTTATTTCCAGATCAAAAAGGAGCATACGGCAGGTGTGACCGGTCACCAGGGGATGCTCACTCCTCCATGGCACCTGATCCCACCTCTGATGTTTTGGAGGTCTACGTTTGCTCTGCTCCTATTTTGTATTGTTTTATGGACTTTGATATTGAATACTGCTCGTAATCTCCATATCCTTCTATCCACTTAATCTACTTTATTACATTTTGCAATCAAGAAATCGACCAATTTTTACAATTTGTCAATAAGTCGGATATTAGATTTCGGAAAAAAATAATCCCAGGCAAATTTATACTAAAAAAAAACGTATTTCTTTTTTTATATATTGCTATTTTTCTTCTCTGACATGATTACCTCATCTTTGAAAATTATGAAAATGCTTTTTGTATATTTTGCTTCAAAAACTATTAATTTGCCTTGATACATAAGGTTTACAGAGATAACTCATCACCGTCCGACAGCTGGAATGGGTTCTCTTTGTAAAATATTTTTTTTGAATAAAGAGTACAAGAGCACAAAGTATATTAAAACGTCGTTGTTATTCACAACCTTAAATTCAATCTTTGCAAAGGAGAAGAGTTGAATTTTAGATAAGTGACACAGTTTTACGTAAGATTCAAATAAGCAACACTCAATTACCCTCCGCTCTAACCGTCATACAGAAAAACATGTATAAAATAAAAGGAAGCATCGCTCTTTCTCATTATCAACATGCATCAATTTCAACAGAAGAGTATATTTCTACAATAAAACATAAAAAGCATAACCCTTAAAATCATCTGAGCCCAAAGTAATACAATTAAAGAATTAAAATTTCAATGTTATAATTTAATGTAATATTTTCAATATTTCCCTTTTCTTATTTATGTACACCTAACCCTGGGGCCCGGTACTTGACAATTTTTATAGAGGGATTATCGCAATCATGCTATCAGTTTAATGTCCAGGATAAAAGTAGAAAATTTTATGAGATTGTACCCATTTTGACGGTTTTGGCCAAAACATTAAAGTCAAGGCCTAGGGGAAGAAGGGACCAAAACATTCACCATATTTGTTTCTCTTCTTTTATAGGTGTTATTTGACAGATTGTTATAAATCGGTACAGCTTCTGCAGATAAGAACCTAAAAAATTTCAAAAATAACGAACGAAACCCAATTTATTACGATGGACAAACACGGATTGGAAAAGGACTCCCTAGTCGCTTAAAAGTGGAATCATTTTTAGTAAAATTATCAATGTTTCAGCCTTATATATCATTACATACCGAATCAATCGCGTGAAGAGGATCCATACAGACGACAGTGTCAGATTCATGATCATTAAGCAGGCGCAGGAAGTCAACAGCGTCCTCTTCCGTCGGATATTGCGTCACAATAAACGCTCTACTGTTAGTGTACGACTAATAAAAGAAAAAAAAAATAATAAAACGTCAACAAAAAAGTCCTTGATCTAAAATGCAGACTAATTTTCTCTTGCAATAATGCGAAATATGGTTATAATGCAAACAATGAAGATTATATATTAGAACGTCTTCATAGCAATACACGTCGCTATAGATTTTTAGGAATAAATTTACAACAATTTCAAATGCTAAGATCTTTAATACTTACTGGAACAGATACTGCATTGATGAAGTTTCCTCGTTTAAGGACGGTAGAAGAAAGATGAACACTGTATTTATCCACTAATTTAGAAAAAAAATAAGAAAATTCTCGGATGTATGTAGACAGTAAAATAAATGATCCTTCATCATTGAAGGTTGTCAGAGTAATATCATTCCCACCTTCTCTCTCTCTCTCTCTCTCTCTCTCTCTCTCTCTCTCTGTGTGTGTGTGTGTAATATTTTAAGTCTTATCTTGAACATAATGGGTAAGTGAGGTGTTAATATATATCAAGGATACACCATGGCTAAATTAATTGGAAAATAGAAAGTTTCATATTTTTGTACTTTTTTTCTAAAGACAGAAATTCTGTGTTTTGGGAGAATAATATTGGGGGAAAACAGAAAATATATAGATTAAATTAAGATTTTTAAATATTTTTATATCATAGGGACTAACTTTCAGAGGGAAGGTTTAGGATATGCATCCAAAAAGCTGAAAAACCTGTGATTTTCACATAATACGACTAAGCCTTTTCATAACATGCACCATACACTAAGGGACGATGGATTAGATATTTAAGAAAGTACACATAAGAGAAACAAATAGTTTCTAACTACAGTTGTATATCTGGAAATATAAGATATTTATCCTATATATTATTCAATATGTGACATTTGGAATTTTCAGTATGTTATCAACTAAATTCAGACAAAAGCTCTGGCATGCAAAGTATTAGGATTTTTTTTAAATTGGCAAAACGATCCTTTCTTTATGAGAAAAAAGAATGAAAAAAAACAAGATATATAGGTAAAATGTTAGGTACATGAACTTAAAACGCTTTATCATGCGTTTTGTGACCAATTATTGCATGTATTAAGTAAATTTAATATATAAAATACAATATAAAATAACAATCAAAAGTTTTCTACACATCAGCAAACCAAGTATTGCTGTTATGTTGCAATACATTACTCGTTGGCTCACATAATAGTGAAGAAGAAAATTGGTAACAGAATGAAATAAATAAAAATGTAACCTACGTGGCAATAAACGACTGGAATGGATATCCCCACAACCATCCCTTGCCAGCTTGAAATCATCTTCATTATATTTAGGTTGTATTTTCATTAAAAGCTATTTATAAAAACAGTTAAACATTTTATAAAACCGTAATTATAAATTCTTGATAACGATAAGAATTTTACTCCAACAAGAGATGAAAGGGTTAATTTTTGAAAAGGGACAAAGAATTTATTTTTTCTCTTAAATACCATTAAAAATCAATAAACATCAGAAAGACGCATTCTAAACAAAACCAGTTAGACCTTTGTTTTCTTCATAACTGGAAAGTTCTATTCTCCTAAAATGTCTTACTTTGCTTGAAAACTAGACGCTAAATGCTATTTTGTTCTGCCTGCTAATCATTATTTTGAATCTGAATAAGAGTACTGATATCACAAAACATTTTTACTTATCGAATTTTGATGTGTTTCAATGGTATCATGATGTGTGCTGCTATCATTTTTAAAAGAAAATGCTTAATTAAATAAAAATGAAAAGCGGTTATATTTATCATAATTATTTTCGATCACATAAATAACAGAATTAGAAATAAAGAAATCAAACGTCGGTTTAAGATCAACACCCGTATACATATGGTTAAGTCAGACGTATTTTATTCATTCACTTAGGCTTATCTTTCTTTTTATCATAACATATCATCATCGACGTCATTACAAGTAATGGAAGCATTGTTTTCATTATTATTATTTTTTTTGCAAGGGTTTTTCTTTAAGGAATGATTGTCTTATTTTTCGATTTCAAGATGTGATCAATCGAATGGCTTGCGTGATAATTCGCATAAACTCCGAAGGCGTGTATGCCTAAAATTATCACGCAGACCAATCGATTGATCATCGTCATAAAATTGAAAAATCTGACAGTTATTCCTTATATGTACATGCTTTGATTCCGCCAATCCACATGCTCCATGCCCTGTTTCTCTTTAGCTGTTAGTCTCGCCCTGCACGAGTCTCAGACAAAGACATTGGAAATGTAAATATTTTGTAATATAAGGTGTACCTGAAATTCTTTTCGAAGCGTGTTCTGATTTGCTGGTTTGTCTACTGTCATGGCGTTTGCATTTGCCGTAAATTCCTCAATTGTTTTGACCATCACCGGCGATTTGAAGATTTCGTTCAAAGAAAGAAATATGGTCATATATTGTTCCTGAAACAAAAATGTAATGTTAAATCCAAAGAAAAAAACATACAGGCCTGCATAATAGTTCTTCGTTCGTTTATTAATATTTACTTATGGATTTTGGCTGTTAAAAATTATAATTTTAATAATGTTTAAGTTATTTCGAAAGTGAAAAGTTCTTGCAATCTACTAGGAAGCTAGGATTGGAAAACTAGGTTCATTATCGTAAATAATTATAATCACTTCATTGTTTTAATCTTTGGAATTTTTTTACTTGCATTTTTTAAGCTAACATAGCAGATTTTCAGTAATTACACTCAAAAAGAAAGTAATTCGATGAATAGATAAATTAACTGAAGATACCAATTTTTTTAATCATTTTTTTTTATTCATATTAATAAATAATTTATTGTTATTATTTACTAATGAGAGTTATCAGTAATTCTCCTCTTTATACACAATTTATTATTAAAGCGGTAGAGGGAAAGCTGGATAAAATGTACATTTTTTTAAATAATAATTTTATTAGGCTTACATAGGTTTGGACCATATTCATCCTGCTTTCTCTCATCTTCTTGACATACTCTGCGACGTTAACTTTCCCTGTCTTTCTTCCTATCTTGTTCAGAACGTCTATTGCTATGTATGTCCCGGTTCTTCCTATTCCTGCACTTAAAAGCATAAAAAAAATACTCTAATTAGTTGTTTAACGTCCTCGAATTTTTAACTTCTAGAAAAGACACAATTTACTGTAAGCAGGTGCAACGGGGGTAACCACAACAAATCGTACATTACAATGAAAACAGACCGAAATATAAACGAATCTTTTCTTCTTTTTTGCGGAAAGGTTTAACCAGGATTATAGTCGATTTTAGTCTTTGACGAACGTGTCATTACCATTTTGATCATTAAAATTTATCAAAAGAAAAGTTTTATCCAATATTATTTCAAAATCATTTTATTATGCAGTTTTACCTGCAGTGTACATCAATTGGAGAGTCATTCTTATTGGTGCCTGTTTTCGTCACGTGATAAAGGAACACAACAAGGCAGAGAGGTTCAGGAGTCCCATGGTCGGGCCAAGCAGTGTAATGGTATTGTGTTACAAAACGAGGCCTTTTTGACTGTAATTTAAATATTTTCATAAAATATTTCAAGTCATTTATTTTAATTTTCTGATTTTTAATACACAAATCAAAACAGAAATGGGAACATTAAGCCTCACTGGATAACCTCATTTCTTTGAAATTTCTAATACTAAAAATGACGGGCGGGTTCTTCCGCTAATAATGAATCTAGACTCAGTGATAAAAATGTCATTGAAAAGAGCAATGCAATACTTAACGTCATAAATAATACCATTACTAATTGCATGCTTAGATTATTTCCAAACTGTGCATGAAGGCGGAAGTTAATGAAAGTAAAATATGAAAGAGTTTCTCTATCGTGGTTTTCATGAGATGAAACCCCATTCGGTCTTTTAAGCAATGATGTATTATCAACTGCTTTACCTCCTCTATATGCTAGTAGCTCACCTCCTTGTCGTTAATGTTAAATTTACGAATACTGTAGAATGCGTACTCCTTTTCCTCTATCATTTTCACAGACATCTTTCCGTAGATTATGTTCTGGTTAACTTCCGGCCAATACTTCGCACATTTGGTCTAAATAATGATTTAAAAGATTGTAATAAAATAAATATGGAACATTGAATTTAAATTTCATAATGTACATATTTTCTTATAATTCCTTTTATTTCGGTTAATAGAACAAACACATATTTGAAATATATGAAGTTTTATGGAGTTAGAAAAAAATGGGAACACTTTCAGATCCATGTTACCTTATTCCCTTCTTTCAGGTTGGTTAACATAACAATGATGGATACATGTTCCTGCCAAACCATTGTCCAAAAATCGTTTACCGTGTTCTGTTTTGGTCCTAATCATATAGCATGGAAATTCTCATAAAATATATCGCAGATGACATTTAAGATTCTTACAGACTGTTACACAACATTGTAGAACAAGCATTTCCCTAATTATCAAGCTATATTAAACTGATATTCTTAGCTTAACTTTAACTTTAAATTTTAAACTTAACAAAGGGATGTGTTAAGACACTGTTTGAAATACTTGTTGTAAGTCGAAAAACAATACATACTCATATATAATTATAAAACAGAAGTATCTGAAGATATCGAAACTGTACTAGAATGGAAAAGAAAAGTAGCATTTGGAACTGAAGCTCTGCAAAAATAACACACGTAATAATTATCTCTATTTGCGTGTCTTTTTGAGACAAGATTGCAATAAGACTATAATAGCTTACTTATCTCTGACAAGTGGATCTGAAAATTGACAATTTTGTATTGTGTATCAATAATGATAATAATGTAATTTACCTTGGGCAGCAATATATTGTTGTTCTTGCTTTGCACCCTAAAAAAGCAACTCTACTTATCATATTTTGCATTAAAAACAATAAAAAGAGCATACGATAATACAAATGAATCTAATCAATCAGGAAAAAAATTCCTATATGCAGCTTAAAGAGAAATGTGTATGGAGCTGTATATTTTAGTTTTATAAACTAAGATTTTGGGAGGAAAGGTACTATATACATGTGAACTAAATTGATGTTAACAAGCATCGCCTTATTGTTGATAAGGAAAATACATACGTTGTTTTTTTTGTGTTTTTTTTTTACGTTAAGCTTTTCTTTACCTGTATGTAATTAGCGTTTATGTAATCAGATGCCGAATCAGTTTTAAGTAATATTCTGGAGTGGTCATCTGGATAAAAAAAAGATATAGAATATAAATTAAGATATCTTTTAATGCAATCCAATGTATGTTACCATAAAAAAGAATACAACAATGCAATCTCGAAAAAAATGCAACGATTAACTAATTATGCATATGGAATGAATGTACATATATTTGTAAATTCGATAAAAAAAAAATACAACCAAGTTAAATACTAACATGGAAACGTTGTCTTATATCTATTCTTGAGAAGATTTTCTTCTCTCTTTCCAGCTTCGCACTTGTATCTTTCTCCATATGGCAAAGTCTTTAAAAAATAAATCACAAACATAAAGCTTTTGATCCCCTTCTATTTTGGGGTGTCTATGTATACATGTTTGTGCCGTACAGTTTTCTTATTATTGTACTGTTAAGACAGATAATGTGTAAACAGTGTGTTTATATTTAAATCACCAATACTTTTAACATGCAGAGAAAAAAATCTTTAAAACGATGCCCCTTTTCTCAAAGAAATGCAAATACAGGACTATAATGGTTGTATTTTTCTCAGGTGCCTACTTACCGCATATTCCCTCTGAAACCCATCATCTTTATTCTTCCTTTTTTCAGCTATATATGTATCCAGTTGCTCTAGAGGTATGTCCCGAATCACTACTTCGTTTGCATAAAAATCTCCGTAAGGATTTTCCGAATGTATTTGCTCATCAACATCTTCATCAACTTCATCATTTCTTTTTTGAACGCTTAGCAGTTTTTGCATTCTGGTTTTCTTACTTTTATTTCCTTGATCAGTTGATGACCAATGATTTGAATTAATGCTTGAGAAATTTGTTTCGGGTATTTCTTTATTTGCTAAAATAAGTAACAAAGCAATTAAATTTATTCCTGTAATAATGTGATGAATCAGAATCAATGTGTTATGTAAATAACGACTCACAATTTTGAGTTCTGTTTGTATCTGCTTTGGACCTGTTATCTTTCTTTAAACTGCGCCTTCTATAGAGAAAACCGAAAATGATTAAAATGCAAAGTATCGAAATGCATGTGATATATGTAAAACACGATTAACAAGAATGAAAAGTATAACTGTACAACAAATGATCATGAATGCAAATCTAAAACGTATATTGACCGTTTTAAAGTAAGAACTGCTATAACAACGACGATACACGCGATAGTAATTCCAGAAACCCCACCAATGATCGTCCCAATATTGTTACCATTGCCTTGTTGAGGAGACGTTTTCTAAAATATTAATATTCATAATGATAAGATTTTGATATTATGCATATACAAAGTTTTTTTTAATTTCCCTAATAAAGAATAAAATTCATTAGATGCTATTTATTTATTTCATTGAATATCCAAAACCAGATTGATTCGTGCATATTGACCAATTTCGAGTATTACGACTATTGGCTAGATTCAGAGGAATTCCTAAAAGTATTTTTTCTTACATCAAAAAGAATTTTCCGATATAATACATGTACATATTCAAAAAAAAAATAATAATTTCAATATTGGAATGTAATTTTAAAAAGACGTATTTAGGTTTGAAATCTTCAAACAAAAATCTAGAGATATGATTCATAGTGAATCGAAGTAAAAAAAAATAACTATGGTTAACTGTGGTATACTTTTTCAGAAAAAATCGGGTTCAGAGATACATGGTTTACTGTACCGACATTGCAGGGCATTCTCCATTATGTGGATTGCAAGTATTATTTACACAGTGGCTGCTACAGTTCTTTAAGCAATTCATGCCATACGTTCCTGGATCACATACTATAAATGAAATACTTATTGAATATATTTCATCTTACAGTTACATTCGTAAAATATAACCTTTTCTCTTCAACAGAAATGCACAGATTCTTCTTTCCCCTGAGAAAATATGTGATGTGATAATAAAAATACCTGTTAAACATAATAAGTCTTTATATCCCTGAATACATCCATTTAAACATGTTCCATTGATATTGTGACATTTATCTCCATCTAGACACTTGCCACAGTGTTGACTGCAGTTCTTGCCGAACCTTTTGTTTAAACATTCTGTATATAGATATAAATATATTAAATATTTTCCTCTTAATAATATATATAAACGACCTTTTCAAATTAAAGATAGAGGAATCAAAGTTAAACGACGTATGATTTCTTTTTTTTCATATATAATCTTTTTTAACTTTTTTTCCCATTTTAAACATAGCCCCAAAACTCTAAATGTATATGTAATATGAATAATGCATTATTTATTTTTTTGATAATGCTTACCATTTTTGCACTGAAGTCCCTCAAAACCAGGCTGACAACCGCCCAAACATTCACCAGTTGTTCGATTGCATCTGCTAGGTACACCACAATTTTCATCACATTGTTCCATACAGGTTATACCGAATTTTCCATCCGAACAAACTAATACCAAAATAAAAGAAAATAACAAAAAAACTTACAAATCTAGTATCTTACTTAATTTTTAGAGTATTTGTGTCATGATTATTAAGCAAACAAATGTAAATTTTAATTATTTTAAAACTTTTATGGACTCATGGAAATGTTACCGTCTTTACAAAGATCCCCTTCAAACCCAGAATCACAGCCTTCGAGACAAGACCCATTGATGTGATGACATTGTTTGTATTCCTGACACGCTCCACAACTCTCTCCACATACAGAGCCGTATGTTCCGTTATCACATTCTATTAATTGGGTGGAAGGGATAGTTGAAAAGAATGAAAGATTTTTTTTTCCTAAGAAGATCATTTACATAATCGCCTGCATTTAATTTAAAACATTTTAATTTTTTTAAAAACATTTTACAACATTTTAAATGCCAAAGCTTTGCTAAAACACGAAGAAATTTATTCTTAAGTAGATAGTGGCGTAGGAGGCATATTCTAAAGTAAATGCATAGAGGTTTATTACTCGAGTATAAGATTGGTTATTCAATTTATCAAAAGCAATGGGAAGAAAAAAATGTTTGTTATAGTTATAGATTCCATTAATTGTATAAGACGGTTTATCTAAAATAGTTCCATTATGATTCTGCTATATTTAAATAATTTGCTTCGTTGTAACACATCAATTAAATAGATAAATATTTAGTTCATATCGTAAATCATAAGTTACCTACGTCACAGTCAGTTACGTCAATTGCAAATTACCCCAGGTGACGTTGATTGTAAAATTGCTCAATTTGATTGAAATTTTAATTGAAAGGAAGGGAATGAAATGTACCTTGTTCTCGCCATTTTTTTTTTCTGATTGAGAAAGTGAATAATGCATGTCTTTCAAAAATCCTGAAGTCATTAATATGATTATGTTTTTTTTTTTCATTTGTGACCCAGAAATATGCATATTCCGTTATCTTTTGCAAAGCGTCAATTAGCTAGCAAAATAATATCTTAGCCATCAGACAATTACATGTATGTTTTATAGCAGTTATAAATTGTATATAAAGTATCAAAATCAGTGAATCCCAGGGTCGTAAACAGCATTTTTTTTATATTGTTTATCTATTAATTTATTGAAAATATTAATTGCAATCCTAATTAAATATAATTCAATTCAACTGGGGTTCCTTACTCTTTTCCTTGTTCTTTTTTATTTTATTTTACTTTTGCTTTTTCATACTTACGTAGTTCACACTGATGTCCCTTGTACCCAGGTTTACATCCCAGACATGCACCTGTCTCTATGTGACAATAACGACAGTTTGTATCAGGACAAGGGAGAGAACAATCTGGACCATAGACTCCTACATTTTGGCAGCCTTAAAAGTAAATGAAATCCATCTAAGTATTCATAAATGATTTAGAGAATTTGGAAATATGTTTAATGTTATAAGAAATATAGGCTTTAATATTTTTTTTTATTCATAATTATTTAAATTTTTATGATGAATTAAGGAATTGATGCCATTAACATTGCATGCTAACTTTTAGTAATTTCGATATAAAAAAACACCTGAGTGCTAAAAAAAAGTATATGTAAAGTGTATACCATTAACTTCAACTTCACACAATTCAACGTGTGCATATTGGGACAATTCCCAGGCATTTTCACGTGAAGGCTGGGGTCTTTCATTGTAATATATGACGTACTGGCCATGAACAGGGCACCTTATATTGACAACAGCCGGTATTGTGGCTCTAGTGTACTTTTCATCGTGTAAACATAGATAACCATGATGTCTGTTTGTTGTGTTGGAAACATAAACGTAAAATCCCAAAAATCGGGTAGTGTAGCCATTTGAAAAACCTAAAAAGAATACATTTATCTATATAAAGCTAAATTCCTTTCCATGTTTGTTTTTTTCACCGGTAATCATCAATTGGCTATTCTTCCTTTAACCTATAATTGTCTTGTAATTGAGTGAAAAGTAACATTAGTTTCTCAAGAATTATTAATTCTAAACTATTGAAGAAAGGACTTTTATTATTTATGCTGTTTCACCGGATATTTTAATCTGTATTTCCTCAAGTAATTGATATTCAGCAAATTTTGTAGTCGATTTAACATCAACATCAGCACTTATTTGTCACTGTTAACATCGCAGTACTGTTAAGGCAACACTTTCTGTAAAAAGTAATGGAATCCGATGCATATATGTTTAAAAGTTTTATTTTTCAGCAAGACACTCTTGTTAAAATGGCTTTATGGTATCTTGATTGATTGATTAATTGATTGTATATTGTTTAAGGTCCCCCTCGAGAATTTTTCACTCATGGAGACGTCACCGTTTGCCGGTGAAGGCCTTCAAATTTAGACCTATACTCGGCACTCAGGGCCATTGAGCAGCGAGGAATCTTTATCGTGCCAACGCCTGCCACTGACACGGGGCCTCGGTTTTTAAGGTCTCATTTGAAGGACCCGCAACTTTCACTTTAAAGTGCTTAGAGCATGGCAAAGGAACAGTCGCTACCTATTTTAACGACTAAGTCAGTCGAGGCCGAGATACGAACTCACGACCTCCCGATCACGGAGCGAGCGCTCTACCGACTGAGATACCGTGAACGGTTTAAGGTATCTTGAAGAGTATGTCCATCGCTTTTCACATCGGTAATTTTTTTTTTGACTTTATGTGACTCTTAAGTCACACGGACTCCGGTTTAAGTCAAATTAAACAAAATCTGCAAAGTCAATGCAAACAAAAAAATAACGGCAAAATGTTTTAGGAGTTGCCAATGTATGTATACTTTCTAAAACGTAATGCTCATTCAGTTAGTTGTTCAGCTAAAACTGACAGTAGTGTATGAAAAATAGGATATTTTCCTACATGTTATTTCATCGCGATTTATAAATTACCTAAAAGATTACACGTACACAGATATGAGCACGACTTTTTTGAAAATTTTACAATAAAATAAAAAAAATGAAAAAAAAACCTTTTAGCCCTTACACTTTTTGATTAAAAAATAAATTCTGATCCAATTGTTTTGTAAAACACGCTTTGATTGGATATGTCACTGATGTTTGAAACAGATAAATGAACATTAAGGAGTGAAAGCTTTTCATTGTGAAGCCATATAGGGCCATACTATAATATTCAAATCAATATCATGAATAGAAATATATCTATATTATAGGATTAAACGTTCTTTTTGAAAAATTTATCGATGTGTAAACTCTTGACATTTTACTCACAAACTAAATAAAAGTGCGAAGCACTTTTATGTTAAGTTTGTGAGTAAAATGTCAAGAGTTTACACATCGATAAATTTTTCAAAAAGAACGTTTAATTCTTATAATTCCAATATCGAATTTTTAAAAATATTTAAATTATTTCTCTTTGAGGCCTCCATACAATCTGTTATTTATGGACGGCGTAGGAATACATTTTACCGTAAAGGAACGTAATCGAGATGAATTTCGATAGAGTTCAACTTAAATTGTCAAAACAATCGATAAATAAACTTATAATAACTAATCAAATGTTGTTTAAGTCAACAAATATCTTAATTACGAGTTTACTTCAGAATAATTCGTCTTTGACCATGGCCATGTTGACATAAGCAACAACTCTCATAGGGAAAGTTGCAGACCGACGACGCCTTCAATTTGCACTTTTTTTTCAAATATTGAAACAATATAGAAAGTAAATATGAATTTGATGCTAATAGGGCAAGAGTTTGAGGTACGTTTCTTTTCCCTGTCAAAACGATACAGACTGAGCTTATTTTCTACGTTTGAACGTTGAGACAGCGATTTTTAAAATTCACACTCGTGATCGGACAGTGACATAAACATTTTCACGGCGTCCATCAGTTAGGCAGTCTAGTATGTTGCCAGTTTTGTTTAAGCCCTAATATTAAATTTAAAGTTTCTTGTATTCATTATTTAGCCAGAACAGACCCAGAAATAACTGCTTTCATTGTTTATACGATAACCTAGTAGTGTCATCAAGAAAGTAGTTCTGATTGAAAGAATTTATCGATGTGTAAAAATTTTCTGGAACGTGTTCTCGTCCAATCAAAACACAGGAAATCAATAGATAAAATGAAGATTGGAATTATATGTATATATATTTGTATCTTTATGTGATGGTTTTTAAGCAATTTATTACATTTTTCTTCTATTTTTTAGAATAAAGGATATGTGGTTGCATGCTAATTTAGAAACAAAACTCTGTGATAAAAATGATGAATTCAACTTTTTTATCGTCAATTCCTTTAACTATGCAACAATATACCTTAAGAATCTCAGTTGATTCGATACACAAGAGCATGTTCAACGTATGAAGAATTCCTAAAAAGAAGTTAATTACCGACAGAGTCTTTTAGATTTTAGATTTTTAAGTCATCATTTCGTAACTATTTATACACTTAATTGACGACGGATTTTCCTGTATCCAAACAGTTTAAAAAAGGGTGGAAACATTTTTTTTAGGTTCAGAAAGTCTATCCTGTTATCTTTCTTTCTAAATATATTTTGCTTTAATACATATTCTCCCACGATTATGTTTTGAAATGTATAGAAACCTAATGTCTCTTTAGATGCACAAGTGATATAATGACCCGATTTTATTTCAAACTGGGTATGAATATATTGCTCACAGAAACTCTATTTTAAATTTTATTGACATTTTATGCATCCGACTGTATATATTTGATGTTCCCTTTTTATTACAATTATATTTATCTCACATTTTAATTTACACAATACCAAGTGTGCAACAAAAATTTTCATTTGATTTAAATATAACCACAACGCATTTTTTAGAGTATAAAAGCGCTGAATAATTACCCCATGTGGAATCGTCTGTCCTGTAGTATATTGTTATATCATGAATGCTGTGGATGGACGTCAAGTTTACCCACCAAGTCAGATTACTGTACCCATCAGCTGATATCGTGCATTGTCCTCCGTAGGCTGTTAACACACTTTTTAGTCCATCAACAGCATTACTGGAATCAAAGGTAGCTTGTCCGTAATTTCTATTGGAACTGTAGTAAACATGCGCTTGGTACGTTGGGTTATTGAAAGCTATATTTTCTAAAAATGAATAAAATGTGAAATAATGTGGTCATTTGCTCACTACCATATTTTTTTTAAAGAATTATAATCATTTATTAAATCTTACTAAATTACATGAACGGTTTAGAAAATGTTTCGTTATAAGATTTCATTTATTTCAAATTTATTTATTTTTGAAGAAGATTTTTCTTGAAAAAAAAAATGTTGCTTCAATTCCTGAAAATTTATTAATATTCTCATAATACGATTTTAAAAGATCTTACCATATCCATAAACAATAGGTAGTACTGTTATTATCAGACCCAAAGCTAGCATGGCGGCGTGGTGAAGGAGACACTCTTACCAATGAGGAAGTTAATAATATAGTGCAACAGAGCGAAAACTCTACCCCATTTGCTGTTACTTGATAAACAAGTTATTCAAACATCACTGATTTTGTTTTGACAGCTCTTATACATTTTTAAAATAAACATTGAAGGAGTCAAGTTACATTTTTAAAGACATGACAAAATGATTTCTTATCTGCTTTGTTAAAGGCTGTGTAAATATTGTCTAATTTCTTTCCTTGTTAAAGGTGACGCACTGAAGCGATAGAGAAAAATCGACATTTCATTGTGTCAGTCGGTATGACATAAGAATGCAATAAAGTATATGTATTTCAAACACTTATGTAAGAGTAACCTAAAGGGTACCTGTCATGATAGAACAAGACTATTTCACACTTGCACGTTTTCGCACAGTGATCTCTTTTGGGTACCAAAAAGTCATGTAAAAGTTCCCCTTTAATCCTTTGCTCTGGTCTGCTACTCCTGTATCTTTTCTAGATAGAAAAAAAAAACATAAAAGTTTTTATTATTATTATTATTAAAATGTCCAATATTCCTTATACAATCAAAAACATGATGAAGAAATAAAACAAAAAAAGATAGCACACATTTCTGAATTAAAAGCTTCCTCGCATATGAGTTTAATGTAACGGAATTTTAACGAATGATAATTTTATTGCGTAATCTTATAATGAAAGCAGTTGAATATTTCCTGGATAATCCGATAGTTGTCCCGATATATCCAGGTCGAAGGACAAACATACATGTAATATAAAGTTCTCTTTTAAGAAGCAAGATTTATTATACGAAATGTTGCCTGCATATTGATATAAGGAAGAGATATTAATTTACACGTAGATTTTAAAGCGAAGGGATAAAATGGATTATAATCATCTGTTTATTTTTGGCAGACAGGTATTTTTTTTGATGTTCCTTAGCTCTCCTACAAAAAACCTTTCTGCTTGAAGGAGAATTTTTTTTTTAATTTCTAATATGGAAATTATTATATAGAAAGGAGGGAGAGCTTCTTTGTGAAACATTATTCATCATTTTTAGCGTTCTGTATAAGAATTTGTAAACCTGTAAACCTTGTTTCTTTAATATCTATCCGACTAATAATTATTTTATTTTGATGAACAATAAAGATTCAATGAACAGTACTATCCATTCTGAAGTTTGTAGGATGGAGGCATAAGAATTCCATTAGTACCTATACTTTTCTTATGAACGCTATGTATGACTTACCTTCAAACTATCGAATAAGAATTCTCAGATGGGCTTTAAAAATACGCATTTAAAGTGTTTGCAGACGATTGAACACCACACACTTTTTAGATCTTACAGCTTGATTTGTTATGTAGGTTTTATATTACATCCTTTGTTTGACAGCTTTTAAAAGAGGAACTAAAAACTGGACAGAACAATAATCTCTACCTTAATTTCCTATATATTGCTTTCATAAATTGATAATTCATTTATTGAGCCTTTAAATTTATTAATATATGATTATCTTACTTTACATATTAAAGTTGAAATTCATAAAGCAATTAAATGTCGAGTCTGTGTTGAGTTATGATAACAACTAATCAAAGTACTGAGAGTACTGATAGGGGAAAGCATTATTGCAAGTTCTCATGTTCAAAAGTTTAATAACACATATTTGAAGTATAAAATGTTTTAAAGGAGGGAGGGGTGATAAATATTTTGAAGTTTGTAGTATTGAAACCAAGGAACAAGAATGAATAATATGTCTCCCTTTTGAAGCGGAGACATGAGAATAAGGGACATCAATAGCAATATGAATATTTTAACATTTATTATACCCCCCTCCCCCGCTTGAACAGCGGGAGGGTATACTGTAATCGGTATGTCCGTCTGTCTGTACGTCTAGCTGTCCGTCCGTCCGTCTGTTACGCTTTGGGGTACTCATCTCATATCCACAACTCCTCTTATACCACTGAGTGAAATTTAATGAAACCTACACAGAATCTTTATTAAATATTGCCATTGTGCACCTTCTATTTTATTTTTTGATGCAACACATATTTTGGGTTTCCCGACCACAGCAAAACATGGACTTTCCATGATAATCATTTGGGAGGCGGGGGTATCATTTAGGGAGCTCAATGCTCACAGTACCTCTAGTTTTTGTCAAGTATAAGAAGTTAAAATTGATATGCAAGTTGCAATACATAAAAATTGTAAAATATGGTTTTGGCGAACAAAAAATGGATAATTATAAAGTTTCACACAAAAATGAGTACTAATGAGTAATCGAAAACAATAGATATCACAACTGCTTTTTTTGTTTTTATGTGTATTAAGTTTTAGTACCAATGACACAAATTCTTGTTATAAAACAGCTAATTAAATAAGGATGCAACATACATAGGAGACTTTACATAAATTTACAATGTGCTTGTGGTTCTATGAATTGTTTTCATTCAATACACCTATGGCCCAGGTAAAACAACTCACAAGTATCTAAAGCTGATGACAGGTGAACCCTGTGTTGTCATGATGTCCAGAATGAATGGAATATTTTTTTTCAGGAGAGCAAGTCCTTGAACGCCAGACAATCTTTAGTTTTATTACTGTGGTAAATTTGTCTTTGATGATTGTAAAATATTGGTACATACATCCCAATATCAATGCCAGGTGATTTTTTTTTCTGGATATTATCTACGCCATTTCCCTCGAAACCGTCTTTCGGAGAATTTTCTACAAAGTGTATAATTGAAAAAAAAAATTAAGAATATCTCATAATGTTTAATAGTATTTAACAAAATTATTTTACAATGTATTCGGCTTTCAATAAATGAAATCAAGATCCTCAATTGACCTTTTATGATATATTTTAATATATTTCCTAGGGAAGTCAACTTTACGAATACGAAATTACAAGTACGAATACTAAAAATAGGTACTCAGTTACTCGGATGTATATTATTTCTTATTTCAAAGTACACATTTGTATCAAAATCTTATCAATTATAACTAAAACATGCAAATGGTAATTAGCATGTCTTCATTTACACCTAGCTGTAAAACATCCGTTTTCGCCTTGATCTACATTCATTCATTCATTCATTCATTCATTCATTCAGTGAAATCTAACAAGCATAGAAATTAATGCCACTCTACCCAAGATTCAAAACCGCTGAACGTCAACTTGTGTAGTAAGTTAAGGGTATGTATACTGGAAACAACCAACGAATGTTAGAATATAAGATTAGCGATGCTGACAAACAACATCCGACCTCTCTCTTTCACTAGTTATATAATTACTTACATGACTGTGTACACAGCAGTTTGTCAAGTAGATCCAATTAAAGCAACCTTTTTTTAATTGTTGGTGTATATTGTGCATTTGTGTTTTATTTGATAATTAATTTTAGTACCAAAATTTTTTCCAATGGAATTGGTAATTATTTGTACATTTATTGCATTGATTAACATGATAAATTCAGCTTTGTGGGTTAACAGAGCTTAATTTAACTAGGCTTGATGAAAATAAAACTTTTATCTGTAGTTTACCGTGTAACTGTGTATTCAATTGGGATAAAGTCAGAGTAAGTGATTATTAAATATTGACCAATTTGACTTCCCTATTTTTTTTTTGTATTTTTTTCTCTCTCAAAAGCCTACTTCTATAAGTAATCATGTATTTGCATGTATTAAAAAAAAAATGAAAGAAAATACGCAAGTCAACAAAAATAAAAAAAAATGTCAAAATATACTTTCAAAAATAGTATTCGGTTCATTTTTGCCATCATAACAAGAACATTTGTTATGCTATCAAAAATCATAAAGCATGAAAAATTTTCCACTAGAAATATATTAAATTGATGTACTGGTCTCTGGTCGTGCTGAGTAGAGTTTTCTTCTGCCATTTAGAGGTGACACAGAGCAAATTCACATTGCAATCTTAATCATATCCCACTTTCTGTAAGCTGCCTCCATAGGAGTATTAAAATAACTATTCGTTCTATTATAAGCCTATTATTTTTATTGGACTTTTTTTACTTAAATCAAAATAAATTTTGATATGATAATAACGATAAAGATTGGGAAGGGGGTCGAATATGATTTAGCGAGTTGTTTGCCCTTAGTTTAAGATACATCCGTTTGGAGTACCATGATACAGGGCAAACATCTTGAGAGGTCAAAAGGTCAACAAAGCAAATTATATGTAAAAGGCGGCTTCCGCCTAAAACGCAAGTTAAACACGAGGGTATGTGCGATTGCACATGCTTAAGTTACATGTATTTTCCAAAAAAGGAAGACAAACATATCTGTTAGAAATACAGACATTTTAATAATATCTTTATGACTACATGTAGAAGTATTTTGGAGTTTTTGTATTTATTAACGAACACATATCTGTGTTTTAAAAAGCACCGGTTATGGGCAACTTTGCATCTTTTAAATTTACTTTTTTTCATTTTTTTTTTTACAATGTTTATATTTTTTTCTAAGGGATTCTTAATTAAACAAAAGCTTTCATGTTTTAAGTTCACCAGGCAATAGTAACAGATGAAAACAGAGAAACAGGGAAGTTTAATATCGATAGGATGAAGAAAGTCAGAAGAAAAACTTAATGATATGACTTAAAAGAAGCACACAAAGGATGATAATTAAAAAAAAAAAGATTGTTCCACTAATATCAATTTAGTACAGATTTAACGGTTGCCTTTGGTGAAGCTTGTCTTGCGAACAAGAATATCATGAATTACGATTTGTTTTTAAACAAAGGTCTTCATGTTGCGTTGACTTCGTTATAACCAAGTTTTACTGTGTATATTTTGTAAAGTGCTTAACATTGCCTTAATATTTTAAAATTAACTAATTGTATCGTATCCTCCTCTACCTGAAATGAACTTTTTATAGCAGGCTGCTATGAACCATAATATGATTAGTGAATAAAACTATGTGGATTTTAATTGCTCACCCATAATTTGATAATGAATATCACAATGAAGCCAAAAGTCAAAAACATTATTCATTCATAAATCATTCTTCTCTTCAGTATTTTCACTTAATATTAAATTGACTTAAAGTCAAATTATATTCAACAATTGAATGGGCGGGTTACGTTCACAAATGAAATTCTACCTATAATCACGGTCCTGTAACAATGTCGCCCGCGTGGCACTGTGGTTAAAGCGTCTGCTCTAGAGTCTCGAAGTAAGGAGTTGATCCTTGCGTCGCAGGTTCGAATCCCACTGTGGGACGTGGAGACCGTTCCTTCTGATAAGCCGTATAAACCGAGGTCCCGTGTCGCAGTTGGGTCTAATACGTAAAAGATCTCTTCCTGCTGAATGGTCCTGGATGCCGAGTATAGGACAAAATTTGTAGCTCTCCACAACAAGTGGCGGCGTCTCCGTTTGAGTTGAAAATTCTTGAGAGGGACATTAAACACTATTTAATCAATCATAAAGGTCCTGTGAATTCGAATATGTCAAAGTCAAGTTTTGTTTTTGTTTATTTATTTATTTATTTTTTCAGGGTCCATTTTTTATTTGTTTTCTAGATCGTTTCAAAAATACAATGCAGTCTTTAATTATGAGAGTTGTTAGAACTTTAAGTAAATTCATTATATAATGTTCTTTAAATCGATTTCTAATGTCGTTTTGAAAAAAAAAAAGAAACCAGATTATCTAACCCAGTTCCTTAAGTGCATATTTAAATTCGTGAAACACATGTTTCCACTCTCTAGTCTTGTTTTTTTTTAAATAAATACAAAGAGAAAGTAGTCTCTGAATAATCTGTAAGGCATCCAGTTATAGAGTACGTTGAAAACTTTATTTCAATAAAATACCAACATTCAGTTTAGTAAGGATATTTTTTTTAATTCAGTTTATTTTATTTATACATGATAACCGCAATTCTTCTTCACTTGGATTGAAATCATTTACCTGTATATGGATAAAGCTTACCGCTCATTTAATACTATGACTCGGAACAAATATATGGAACGCCAAATTGACATATATTCAAATGAATTTTACCTATCTTCAAATGAATTGTACCTATCTTTAAATGAATTGTACCTATCTTCAAATGAATTGTACCTATAATTAAATGAATTGTACCTATCTTCAAATGAATTAGAGATAGGTACAATTCAATTATACCTATCATCAATTCATTTGAAGATAGGCATAATTGATTTGAAGATAGGTACAAATGCAATGAATTGAAGATAGGTATAATTGATTTGAAGATAGGTACAATTGAATTGAACCTATCTTTAATTACTAAGATATTGGTAATAATAGCTACTCCCTTTATCATACGTCATTTCAAGTCATATGTCACACGTATACATGCATGTGCATTTTATTAAGTATTAATCCATTTTACACATTTTGAATCTGGTATAACTAGAATTGAAAAACACAAAATTACTTTCATATATAAGGTAAATCAAAAGGGGGCGTATTATTTCTCCTTTCACCTCGTTGTCGTCGCTCTGAAGATTCTGTACGTCCCCCCCCCCCCCCCATGTTCAATATTTCTCGAAGGGAGCGTTCATTATTTTCAATAACACGAAACGAATTGAACCTAGGTATAATTGAATTGTACCTTTCTTCAAATCCTTTGTGGATATGTCTTAATTGAACCTATTCTCAAATCAATTGTACCTATCTTTAATTCAATTGTACCTATCTTCAAATGAATTGAAGATAGGTATTATTCAATTGAAACTATCTTTAATTGGATAGAAGATAGGTGTAATTCAATTAAAGATAGGTATAATTCATTTGTACCTAGGTATAATTATTAAGAGATAGGCTTAATTATTTACACCTATCTTCAATTCAATTGTACCTATCTTTAATTCAATTGTACCTATTTTTAATTCAATTGTACCTATCTTCAAATGAATTGAAGATAGGTACAATTATTTGAAGATAGGTGCAATTATTTGAAGATAGGTACAAATATTTGAATATATGTTAATTTGGCGTTCCATACAAATAAATGGTTTCATGAGATCAATCAAATGATAAAGAACAACTGTCACTATAGCAGCTTATATGAAATGTTTACCGTTTATGAGCTATAACTCAAAATCTTTCTGGGACCCAGGATCCCTTATTTGAGGGGCTAGCCCTCTTTTAGTGATGAACGAGATTTTTTCAACATGTCTCAACAACTTATTTTCAGTACAAACGATACATAAGGAGATATAAGTAAATTTTTCTGCATTACGGCATTTACATTTTTCACCCTATCTAGCGCTGTTTTGAGCGCAGAAGTAACAAAAAAAAAAAAAGATATGCATAACTGCAATTCTTCAATTATTTAAATTAAGTAGAATATTGCCCAAACTTTTGACGTCTCTGGGCCTTTATCTGGAAACGAATGGTACCATATTTTCATTTAAAGGGAAATAACTCCAAAGCAAAAGATAATTTTTGAAATGTAAAAAACAATCTTACTGAGTCTTGTAACATCTGAATCTCTAATTATTTGTACCAAATCGGTTGAGAAATGAACGGTTTATGAGGTTTCAAAGGCATTTAGGGAAAAAAGAATAATAGGGAATAATCTTAAACAGAATAATCAGTGCATGTAGGCCTTCTGCACAAGCGAAAGACCTGAATTACGGTAATCGGTAGAAGGCATTTACTTGTAACGAAAGACCCTAATAACTACTAAATACTATAATATAAAAATTAAAACATATCATTGAATAAGTATTTTATCAACAGTTGCCATCTGGAAGCTTCTTTCACTGATTGTTCTTTGGTTTATCATTTTCTATCGCAACCCATTGGAAGGTATTGAAAAACAAGAGACAGAAACAGAAACATGAATGTAAACAATGAAATTATAGATTTGGACAGCATAAATCAAGCTTATGATAACATTCAAGGACAAAGAATTGCATGCATTTGATTTTTGATTTAAAAAAAAAAATATTTAAAATATATCATTTTCAAAAAAGAAAATCTTCAAAGCTAAGCAATTCAAATTTATCAATTTTTCTTTCAAATGTTTCAGAACGTCAATATTTATTCTCTCTCTCTCTTTCTCTCTCTCTTTCTCTCTCTCTCTCTCTCTCTCTCTCTCTCTCTCTCTCCGAGTAACTGTGTAAAATTATTAAGACAGGTTTCCTCTAAAAATCATTTTTCAAACATATCTTCTTAGGTGGAGGTGGTGGCATTGGTCGTATAGGGGGTATAACTGGATGTCCAGCCGGTGCTGCCTTTGGTCGTGTTCCACTAATTCCAGATGTAACCTCCGCAATAGTAAATTGTACCTCCACAGAGATCTCATTATGTCCAAAACGATCTAGTAAGAAAAAAAAAGATTTATTCTTCTTGACTCGCGTTGTCCTGCGGTGTTGATAAAAAGAACATGAATGCAGAATCAATTTCTGTTTTTTGCACAGTAGCATATATACATGGTAATTTCATTTCAATTAAAAAATCCTTTTTTGATAGTCCAGGTCTGACATTTGAGGTAAGGAAGACACTGTTCCTCATAAATATACGCAAGGAATTAAGTATCGCGTAATTTTTGGAAAAGAATCACGCGCAAAAATAAAATTTCATTCCCTTTTTTATGGTGCTGAAATCTATATAATCTCTGGAACAACTTTCCATTTGCAAAATATCATTCTCGTGATTTGACGTTGAAGAGTCTTAACATCTGCATAATAAGTACTCGCAAACATGTACATTATCAGAAAAAATGCTCAGGAGGAGAGAATTTTATTTAAGATCGATTTTTTTTCATTGAAGACACCTACTCTGCTAAGTTATGTAAAGAATAAAAAATTTAAGCGCATAGAATTGGTTTGCTGCCAATATTTCATAAACAAATGAATATATTGACAAATGGTTTGCTTTACAGAGATACGTTTAGGCCTCCAAGAAAGTATCACCGTGTACTATTATACAGGGAATAGCTGTCTTATTTTTCGATTTCATGATGTGAACAATAGATTGGGTTGCGTGATAATTTGCATAAAGGCTAAAGACATTTCCGATCGGTAACGTATTCCTTTACAGCATTTTCTAATGCATGTTTTGTGCGATAATTGAATAATGAGCCATCGAAATTTCCTAAATGTTAAAATTCACAAATACGAGGGTTGATCCAAAAGTAATGTCACACTGTCCATATCTTTTATATTTGGCGTCATATTATCAAATACAATATACCAAAAGATGCACAATTACAAATCTAATTAACATTGAAATTCTCATGTAATAATGTTTATTTGAATTTATTTTATAGATGTTTGAAATATAGAGCATAGTGGGTGTCGCCGCGTCACAACTGAACGTCAAGTTTTAAAGTGTATTTTTTGTCAGAATGAAAAATACAAACCCATTAAAAAGGTTCTAAAAAAAGCACCTAATCTCTCATTTTTTTAAAAGACACAATTCAAGTCAATTTCTAGTCTTTTATTGAAAATCAAATGATGGCATTGGTATTTGTGATCATAAATATTGTTGTTTTACTCTGTTGAAGTGAACAAAGGGATTGTCGAAATTGTCGAAATGATAAAAAAAAAAAACCCGGCTCGACGAAGTGTACTGCATTTTTGCTTCAAAATATAGAAATCATCACTAGCGACAGTTGTGTTAATAAATAAGACTCACAGAATAAAGAATATAAGTGAGAGACTTCGTAATAGATGATTTCAGTAATTTTGGTCGGATGGTGTGTCATTGAATGATCAGCAGAGGACAAGAAGACCGAAAGATAGGAGATCAGATGGAAACATTCAATGGTGTCTGACGTTGTCAAAACACACAAAGGGATAGAGTGACATGTGAATTTTTAAGTTTGTATTCTGCTACTGTTTAAAATATTTTGACAAAGGGCTTAATTATGAAAAGATTGAGTGTATAATGGTACCAAGAATTCTTAAAGAGAGTGAAATTGGTGAAAGTCTTTGCGAATCACAAATATTTTTTGATGAAATATAGGGAAAACGCTTGAAAGAATCACGGTGTGTATCCGTCATATGATGTTATATTTAGGTGCGGCGACTATAATAATTGCAATTACCATCGTTTAAAATCTGATATTTTGGAAAGTATACATCATATTCCTTTGAATTTTTCATGTCTCATTTGAAATTAATGAAGTTTTCATCATGTGTAATTTTGTTGTTTTACGTCGAATTATAGCAATTTTATCGAAGTTGTGACATTACTTTTGGATCAACCCTCGTACGTATGTTATAAACAATGGAATCTTAACATTCATGTTTTTCTTAAATATTTCTGCAATTTATTCTGATAAACCCATTTATAATGAAATTAATATATAAGGAAAAACGAAATTATTAAATTAAGAAAAACGAAATGGTTTATTAAATTATTTCGTTTTTCTTTATTAAATAATTTCTTTTTTCTTCGCATATTAATTCGTTTTTCTTTTTATATTTATTATGTGGCCCCGAAAGAAGTTGGGCAACATATTGCGATTGTACTCATGTTTTTTGTTCTACGGACTGTTTCTCGGATAAGGCTGGGACAATCTTCCTGAAACTTTCCACAAAGCAAGATCACTTGATGTAGTTGTGTTGTGTGTTCATTCAGTTTCAAAATGGCTACCATAGCCATGGAAACCTGCAAAAAGCGACGAATTTTTACCGCAAGTCTTCTCTCTGGTCCCTTGAACATTCGTCGTTCTTAAATCTTAGTATTAAAAGGACTGATACGAATTAATGGTTTTACAAGCTTATCTTATCGGTATTGTTTTTGTAATACAAAATAATACAGTCCTCTCCAGTCTGGGGCGACATACGCTATAGTTTGCAATAGCAGACTTTCTAGTTTAGTTTCCTTTATATATTAATTTCGTTTTTCTTTATACATCAATTTCGTTTTTCTTTATACATCAATTTCGTTTTTCTTAATTTAATAATATCGTTTTTCTTAATTTAATGATTTCGTTTTTCTTTATTTAATAATTTCATTTTTCTTCATTTATTTATGGTTTGCACTATTGGGCTTCCGTAATCAAGTGATATCGTTACAAATGTGTTTTAATATAGTCTACATAAATTGGTCATACTTAAATACCTAAAGTACAAATAAAAATCAAAATCGACCTTGCTATGCAGTTGTATGGATTGGGCGCATTTAGAGCTTCGGAAAGCCTTCACATACAGTCCCTGAAACGTTCTACTTTCCCTTTTTACCGTTCGCTCACCGTTCGTTCAGCGTGTGTTCACCGTTCGCTCTCCGTTCACAGTTTTGCGTTCACCGTTCACCGTGCGCTCGCGTTCACTGTTCACAAAACGTTCACCGTTCGCTCTTCGTTCCGTTTACTTTGCGTTCACCTTGCGTTCACTGTTCACTTATCGTTCAGTCTTCATTGTCATTCGGAACTCCGAAGTGAAAGGACTTATCTTTTTGATGGTAAGGATTTACACCTTTTTTAATTGAATAACTAAAATATCGTGTTTGAAGAATAATTATTTCATTGCGAAAGTTATCTACGATATTTATATTTCTATAAATATAACCTAGCTGTTACTTTATCCGTGAAATTTCCCTAAAAAATAATACATTAAATACCTACATGTATGTAGAACGATGCTAAAATATTAAATTTAATAAAGGGCGATGTAAAAATGCTTCACGCTCGGCATCATCTTGTTGTAATGTAAAAACGACAAATCATTTATGGATGGATATCTAAGTAAGACAAAAATACACAACAAAATTATTTCTAACATGTATTTTAAAAAAATTCACGAAAAAATATATGAGAACTACACATAGGTCTGAGAATTATGAACAGTACAGCAGATATTCAGTTAATTTAATATCTCTAGAGCTAATGAAATTTATTAGCATGCTTTTAAATTTTAGAAAAGACCAACTGTTTAAAATGTAATACATTAGATTTTTTTGTACACTAAGTTAAGTGTAATATTAGAGAAGAAGAATTCCTTAATTCACCGTACCTAAATATATGTTTGCCATTCAATGTGATTACGAGCCCCCCCCCCCCCCCCCTTCCGTGCGTTATCTCCCGATATCAAATACTTAGCTAGTATATCCAGAATATTTCAATTAATATTTAAAGTGTATTGTAACACAAGAAAAATTAATTTTAAAACGAACATCAAACAGTCATTAAACAAAAGTATTTCGAAATATACATGTACGGACAGTAGTTTTTAAAATTGGCAGGGAATATGTTTCAAATTCAATTTCAAACTTAATCCTTAGAAGTATAAATTCCCATTATTTATATATTTTCTCTGCAGGAATGCAATAAAGTGCCCCGCCACAGCATGATAGCCTGTCAAATATTGTTCAATAATAATAAATTGGTTAGGATGCAAGGAAATCAGGTAGCCTTGATTAACAGATTGACACAGATTTCAATGATTTAATTTCCATTTCTTATCATACATCTCTAAGAGACTTGCAATGTAGGGATTGTTTATAAGAAATACATCATATAACTCTAAACTGGTTGTGTTAGAGCATAACAAATATCCATCTGCAGCTTACTTAAACTTAAATTGTTTATTGCATATTTTATGAAATAATAGAAATGCTAGAGTTTAAATAAAAAAATCAAACATAAATTATAATTTCTTCTGACTATAAAATTCAATGTGAGACATGACTGCAATTTGTTGCAAATATATAAAAATTGAAATATATATATTTTTTTCAATGAACACATGTATAATTAGTTTTAATCATACTATACAATACTAATTTAGTTTTAATCATACACTAAAACATCAATTTGTTTTAATTACATTACACCAATTGAAAGATCTTTATCTGGACTAGCCATCAAGAACTCTTAATTAACACAAGCAACTATGAGGCCATTTCTTTTTGCCCAACTCCCAAGAGATAAATTAAGATAACAGCTGCATCATTGCTAGAGATGCTCTTAGCTCCTGACAATAAACTCATTAATTTCTCTCTAATTTGACATGCAAAGTTTCTGCTATCAAAATTCTTCTTGACCAGTGCTTGATAATTATGCCCATGGGACAAACTGAATTCCTCTCAAAGCATAAACATATATTACAGATTGCTGTAAAGTATATAATGAAAAAAATATGGTTTTACTTAATTTAACATTTTTTAATAAGGATACAACTATATTTTTAAATTTTTAAGGTATATGAAGTTTGAAATTTAAAAGACTTAGTTTTAAAAAAAAATCACTTAAATTAAAGGTCACAGTGACCTTGAAATAGGCTGCGACACACCTTCTACAATAGCTGTATACTTTTGCCAAGTTTGAAAGCTCTAGGTCTCATAGTTTTCTAGTTATGAGCCGGACAGGATTTTTCCATATTTGGTTATAGCATCTTTATTAAAGGTCAGAGTGACCTACTTTTTGTGCGAGACACACCTTCTACCCAAGATGTATCAGCTGACAACGTTTGGTAACTCTAGGCCTTATAGTATTAAAGTTATGAGCCGGACACGAGAAAAGCTAACAGACGGACAGCTAGACAGACGGACGGACACGAAGCCTATAACATAATACGTCCCGTCTTAAGACGGGCGTATAAAATTCAGATCTAAAAATGAAAAGTAAAAATATTAAAACTTTTTGGAAATACTACATGACTCTTTACCTTTGCCATGCTCGGTGAAACGAGATTTCCACACCTCCGCTTTGATTGGCAGGCCAAGCACGTCTGGTGAACCATGTGAAAATGAAGATGGAAAATAAAAGCCAATAGTTACTGTGAATTGAATTTGTTAATCTTAAGAATTTGAATATTTTTATTGCTTGGACAATTTCGGAAAAATAATAAGAATTTCTATTTGATACAACAGATATCTGAGAATGGGGGGAGATCTCTCTCTCTCTCTCTCTCTCTCTCTCTCTCTCTCTCTCTCTCTCTCTCTCTCTCTCTCTCGTACATTTTTTCTGTTTAATAAAAACTATGACAGCACTTTACTTATTTAGTTTTTAGTTTTTAAAATTTAATCTATTACAAATTATTTTAATGCCTCTTTCCATCATCTTGTCCGAGAATAATCACGACCTGGAAATGTCTACAGATACATGTAGAAGTTAGGTAATATAATTATCATAAAAAATTCAAATTGAAACATAAATATAGAATATTTTGCAATCGGGTGTTCTTATGCAATACGTTAACAGACAATTGTGAATTTCAAAAAAAAAAAAAATCCGTTATTTTACTCAGAATCGCGTTGGCACGAAAATACATGTTTAGTTGTTTCAACCGGGTACAATGAAATTAATTCATTCTATAAGTAGCAGTTCTATCTTCTAAAGTCCACATTATTTTATAAGTGAAAAAAATAAGCATAATTATTTACTATATAAGTAGATAATTTTATTTTTTAACTACACGCGGTAACAAATACACGTTTTACGGCGATTAAAATCATGTTATTAAAATATCGATTTAAACATGGGTATGTACAGAAAAAAATGTGTTTATTATTTATTTTTTTCCTATCTATTTATTTATCTATTGTTTATCTAAGTAGTAATTTTATCTTCTAAAGTCCACATTATTTTATTAGTTAAAAGAATAAGCATAATTATTTACCATATAATGTAGATTTATTTTTCAACTACACGCGGTAACAAACACATGTTTTACGGCGATTAAAATCATGTTATTAAAATATCGATTTAAACATAGTTATGTACAGAAAAAAAAAGTTTTTATTATTTATTTATCTATCTATATAATTATCTATTGTTTATCTATTGTTTATTAATATTAATTTATGACATTTGAATAATAGAATAACAGAATAATTTCAATGTAAGGAAAAGATCGAAGGTATTCCGAATAAATCGTTCATCTTGCGTTCACCGTTCGTTCACCGTTCACATTGCGCTCGCGTTCGCGCTCAGTTCGCATTCTGCGTTCACTTACGGTTCACCGTTCACACATCGTTCACCAAGTTGCGTTCAGCGTTCGCACATCGTTCACTCACCGTTCGCTCTGCGTTCGTTCACCGTTCGTTCAGGGTTCGTTCACCGTTCAGGTGGGAAAGTAGAACGTTTCAGGGACTGTAGTTGCATTAGAAAAAAATATGCTTCCTGCAGTTTACATACAATCTTCTCAGTGAATCCTCTTATGAAAAAATTAATAGTTATGTGTCATTTATCAATAATGAATAAAAAAAAAATAATGTGTTTCTATTAAACAAATTATGATCAAGAAGCTACACATTCATATGCTAAACACCGTCATGCACAGAAGTCTGTTTAAAGGGAATTCCTTTCCTTGTATGCTAAAAATAAATGGTGTATCAACGTATGCTTGTATTATTCCTTCTCTCTATAAATAGTTATTAAGTCATGGTCATGAAAAAAAGGAAGAAAAACAACCAAAGAAAAACTAAAAAACAAATATGTATATAATGAACCAAACTCATTTTTCTACGAATTTAATATTCAAAAGTTATCAATCCGAACAATCTTATAATGTATACTTGTATTGTGGATTTGATTTAAAAAGGTATGTTCCAAAAAAGCACATAGAGAAATGAAAAAAAAAAAAAAAAAAAAAAAAAAAAAACTTCAGGGTGTCCATTGTTAAACATATACCTTATTATATAAAACTTGGTCCATACAAAAAGTCTTCGTTTGGTTGTCCTAGACACTTGGATACTTTCATTTTATTTAATAATAGAATTTTGGTTGAAGGTAAACAATTCTAAAGGATTTTATTTTCTTTTTCTTTATCTGAAAGTGTATTAAAATGTATCACATACGACATATCTATTCACTGTTTAGTAAAAATGGAAAAGAAACTATATTGTATTTTCTTGAAGATTATATATATATTATTAGGAAAAAGACAAGTTATAACCAGGGCAAAAAAAATCCTACCTCTGATGTTTTAGAAGAATGCTTTTGTTTGCTTCTGATTTGATTTAATTGCATTAACTTTTGAATTTGAATACGGCTTTTTTATCCATAAATTTACAAATACCCTTTACGTTTTTACTGTTCACGTTATGTTTAAAAAGAAATGTATTCAATAATTGTTTGTAAACTGTAGGATACAAATATGATTTAATAACTAATAAACAGAAAAAAATATCAACAGTAACTGTATAATTATATCTAAGAATAAAGAAATAAAAATCGTGGGTAAAGTACTCAGAAAATGCAACTTACCTTCTCGATGTATCGAAGTAAATATTATAATCAATAGAAATATCGTAAACATAATCAGACAAAATCTCGAAAAAAAACTTGATTTCATTTTGTTGCATTACAAACTTATATACCCTTTCTCTAGGAGTTAAGTTGGAAGATTACTTTGTAGTAGACCTCAACTTCCTTATTTATATTTTAAATGCCTGTTTGCAGGCATATTTGTTCAAACCGGTTTAAAACATTTGTTTAAAATTAAAATCAAATCAAATGGATTTTTAAATAGTGTTCATAACACCGTTTTGAATATGTTCCAATTAACATTCAACAGCAGTACGACGGAGTAAGTTCGTAATTTATGAAAAAGTATTTCCAAATCAAGTCTTGAAATAGATCGTTCAATTTAAGGTCAGAATGAATTTTGAAGCAATATGTTTATAATATGCCAATTAACCAGTAGGTAGAATCATCTATGAAAACCCCCAAATTTACATGTCATCTGACCTCGTGTTTTAAATGATATTTAAACCTAGGTGTCAGGTTCTTTTGACAAGATTCCAAATTAATCACAGTAAGAAGGCTTCATTTTCTGCTTAATTCATTTATTCTTGTAGCAGTAGAAAGAAATTTGCACCCTTGTAAGTTATATATTATGGACAATGTTATTGGGGATTAGAAGGATTCTTTTTGTCGTATATTTCGAGTATACTTTAAACTGAAGATTGGTCATTTCTTCTATATTTCTACTAATAAGTACAATGCACATTCATATGAAAATACCTCATATACTTATAAAAACAACCATAAATTACCGTATAATTGGAAATTCTAGCAAGTCGCAACACTATCCTCAGAAAGAGGTATCCAATTTTAAGCGAGATGTTATGTTAGCTTAACATGCTCACTTATGAAGCTATTACATATAAAATGTATTTGATTTTTAGCAATGTTCTATTTTAGCGATCTCAGAATCCTCGGTAATAATGCCAAAATTTAGTTCCTCGCTTAAAATTCTTTTTATACGGTATTCATTTAATAAAAATGAATGTCACTAATGCAGGAAAATCCAGAACAATGTATTAAAATGTGTCTGTATGTGAGCATATATTTTCATTATGCTTGTTGATCCTTTGAAGCTAGGTTGAAATGTATTTGTGTAGATTAAATACAACACTAGGCAAGTGACATATTTGTATACCTTGAATTTATTACGCAACTTCGAGCCAAAGGAGTTCGCACGGATCCCATATATTACAAACTTTGGTGGCAGCAGTGGAATCTTAAAATACATTATGAATGCAACGGGGAAAGAACATATTGCTCAGATTGCAAGTATGCTTTAAACGATGAATTTGATAGAGGAGAAATTGAAGAGATGTTAATTTTACAGTTCCATTACTAAAAGTGACAAGCAGCATGAAGCAAGAAGTCTTAACATTTTATCACCTGGGTATTATGACCAATGTGAAATGTCGCCATATTCATTCACAGACCGCAAAGTACAAGGAAAAAGAAATTACTATAAAAATGAGTCTAGAGAAAAGTCTCGATAATCATATACCAGTGTCAGAACACGACCAAGTGTTCACTTTGCTGACGAACATTGTAAAGGATAAGGGAAAGTTGACTGATTAAAAAGCAATCTATCAATCGGAGCAGGTGATCGTAAGAAGCCTTCTGAGCTAAATGTTTCTAGAGACAATGCAAAAGTACCATTGCAGACATAGACATATAGGGTAGATAGAGACAATGAAATTGCCAGTAAGTCAGCGACTTATGACGACTCAAGCTGTTGACTTGATTACACGTGCCATTTTGAAGCCTGTACCTACATGAATGGCTGGGACTAACTGAAAAGGCATGTTAATTACTTTGTCACTGCGTGGACAAGCAAAAGCTGTGCTAGGCAACATGCCAAGTGACAAGGAACAGCAATACAGCACACTTATTTGATCTTTGCACAGGAAATGCAGTAATGCAGTAGAACTGATGACCGCCAGTCAAACACACACCCAGATGACAAAGAACCAAGTACATTTTTGTAAAGGACCCAAAGTGTTTTCTGGAATCGGGACTTTAATTAAGGAATGAGGGTAGTATATCAGTGTATTAAGGGCGAGAATACAAAAGTATTCTTTGACACCGGAACAACTGTTACATATGTATTCACTTGTCCGCAAAGTTGCATGAACTGTCCGACCACTGTCCGAACAAACCTACAAAAAATTACCCAGACCATAATGTCTGCTAATGGTACACCATTGTCAGTCAGAGGGAAGGCGGAGCATCGATTTTGCAAGCAATGACTTTAAGAAATGTTGTTTTTATTCAGTGCTTTAAAACCAAGAAGAAACATCTACCTATGATAAACACTGACCAGAAACAATAGCAGTTTTTAAGGGAATTTCCTGTTTGTTTTCATGTATGCTACAAATACATCCTTAACCAAAAAATACTATAGTTTACTATTGTTAAATGTAGTTATAACGTTGACACTTTAAAAAACTTTGGTTTACTAAAGCGAAAAGTTTGACACTTGGAAAAACTTTGACGAAAACTTTGACACTTTGAAAAACTTTGGCGAAAAATTTGACACTTTCATTTACAAATACAGTTATCTATATTTACTATAGTTAAATATATTTTTTTTTGTTTTTTTTTTATTTTTTTGTTCTATCAATGACTATTTGCATAATTACTTTATCTGAGTGTAAATAGTTCCTATGACGTACATGTTTGTCACAAAAAAGCCCAAGAGAAATTAATGCAGAGACATCTAGCATTAAGTCTGGGATTGTTAAATCTATTTATTAAAAACTATTTGTTTTAAACTTTGATGTTGAAAATTAAATTATATAAAAATGAATCTGTTTATTACTGCGAGACATATTCGGTCAACTTCGCGGCGCCTCGCTGCGCTCGCTATAACTTTGGCCAATATGAATATAAGATGTGAACGTTCAGATCCGATCATAATCTGATGGTAGCGCCAGTTCCCCCCAGCTCCTGATATCTGTTCTTGTCGTCTTCATCAATTTTATTAGAGCTAATTCCCATGTTAAATGATGTTGACTTTGTCTCTTTATCTTCTTTATACATCGATTTCCTTATTTTTCCTTTCAGATTCCATCTACAGAGATATTCAAATTGTGTTGAAAATTGTCAGTTTTTTCCCTAAACAAATCTAGGAATTTTGAAATATGAGAGAGAGATAAAGAGAAGGAGAGAGAGAGATGTTTGCTTGTCCTATATATTCATCAAAGATAACTTACCTATAGATACAGATGTAGGCAATTAAAATGCCGATTATTATTAGACAAACACAGAGAGAGGCAAGAACACCATTAAATCTTGCGAGACAATCAGTATCAATAGTTTTCTCTGCAACTGCATAGAGAAAAAAAATCATATCGATAATTTTGGATCTATTGATGTAACATAATATTCCTTTATTTCAACGTTGTGATAACATTAAGTAGATTATTAACTATTAACCTTGTAAACACATAGCACCCTGCCATCCACCAATACATCCTTCATTACAATATCCTGTCACGTGGTTGCAGTCACGTGATGACTTGCAGAAAATGCTGCATTCTTTTTTGCAATTCTCTCCATAAAATCCTGCCTTACACACTGTCATTTGAAGTAAAAGGTTCATTTAATTTACAAAGAACTATGCTAAATGAAATATTTTGATTTCTGTTTTAAACAGTGAAATATAATTTCTACCCATTAAAGGTAATGTGTTAAAAGTATAAAATCCCTACTGACATACTTATGCCTTATTTTCTACATTTTATTCTAAATTATGAAAGTTAAATTACTTTCATTGCATAATATTCCTATATATCCATCCGAACATATTCCAGGACAAGAACCATTTACATAGTGGCAGTTTGAGTCCTGACAGAATCCACACGAATTAGAGCAGTTTTCACCGTACTTATTTTCCTTACAAACTGAAAAAAAAACATTTCTATTTATTACTTTTTCGTCCATGAATTTCATTTCATTATCCTTTTTTCATATATTCTCGTACATAAGAAATTGAATTGTCTTATCGAAAATTCAGTTCTTAGTAATAAAAAAAATCAGGAGAAAAATAGCATTAAAGTTTAAAAGCCATATTAAAACAGTAATCTGGAACCTTCTTCGCATCGAGGTCCCTCCCAACCTGGTTGACATCCTCCCTCACATTCTCCTGTCGTTCTGTTACATCTAAATGGTACACCACAGTTCCCATTACAATTTTCATTACAGTTGATGCCAAATTTTCCAAGAGAACAACCTAATATAAATTTCTACATTGTATGCCGTTTGTCTGCTAAAGTGTTTATGTATTGTTAAATGATATGACCGATGATAATTAGTCTGGTAGAGTGTTTACGTATTCTAAAATGACAAATAGAGCCGATGATAAAAAAAAATGCTAGCTATCAATGCTTAACTTAAATTATTAATTTTTTACCCGTTTTACAAAAAAATCCTTCAAATCCTGCATCACATCCTTCAAGACACGACCCATTGATGTGGCGACATTGTTCATATCCCAGACAAGCTCCACAGGTCTGTTCACAATTCTGTCCATATCCTCTGCTGCATTCTGTTAAAACCAATTAATAAACTACAGTGTAATTCAATTAAATATTGTAGAGAAATGTGTTTAATAAAAATAACTATTGCAACACCCTAGCCCAAAGATGCCCAGTGAGAAGAATTTGCACCATAAAAGAAACCTACGTATCAATATATTTAGCTCTGAATGCTCATTTAAGGTCAAAATTTGAAGGCCGTGAGGTATGATATCTCAAAAGAAGTCTATCAATGGTGGCTTAGTTCAATTATATCATTTCATATCAGCTTAAGGTGTTGAAGGTAGCGATCATCAAATAAGCATAACCTAAAAAAAAACCACTTTTATTTAATACTTTTTCATCAATGAATTTCATTTCACTATCCTTTTTTCATATATTCTCGTACATAAGAAATTGAATTGTCTTATCGGAAATGCAGTTTTAAGTAATTAATAGAAACAGGAGAAAAATAGCATTAAATTTTAAAAGCCATATTAAAACAGTAATCTGGAACCTTCTTCGCATCGAGGTCCCTCCCAACCTGGTTGACATCCTCCCTCACATTCTCCTGTCGTTCTGTTACATCTAAATGGTACACCACAGTTCCCATTACAATTTTCATTACAGTTGACGCCAAATTTTCCAAGAGAACAACCTAATATAAATTTCTACATTGTATGCCGTTTGTCTGCTAAAGTGTTTATGTACTGTTAAATGATATGACCGATGATAATTTGTCTGCTAGAGTGTTTACGTATTCTAAAATGACAAATACAACCGATAAAAAAAAATGCTAGCCATAAATGCTTAACTTAAATTGTTAAATTTTTACCCATTTTACAAAGCAATCCTATAAATCCTGCATCACATCCTTCAAGACAGGATCCATTGATTTGGTGACATTGTTTATACCCTAGACACGCTCCACATCTCTGTTTACAATCCTGGCCATATCCACCACCGCTGCATTCTGTTAAAACCAAATAATTTAATTTCACTTGTATCAAGCTATTTCATTGGCTGACGCATTCAGAGGAACATATAATATCTTGGATAACATAACTTGCCTATGTCACAATGAGTTACGTCAAAAACGTATTACTCCACTTGACGTTACTTTTTAACTAATGCTCAATCTGAAGCCTTATTCTGGAGGAAAAACTTATTGTCTATACTGAAATTAAATTATAAGGAATGAAGCTAATGTTAGGTGTGGTATTTGGGGGGGTACCAAGTTTTATTATGAGCAAAGAGCGATAACTCTAATATTGTTTTTGTAACTTTTCGCTGAGCTCTTCTTTGTCAGAAGTTAGAATTTGGTGCCTCGTCCTACAATAAAAGTGTAAACACCTAACATCTATCTTATTTTCTCCAGGTAATTATTTAATTAGCACATTTATATGCAATGTATATTACCGAACTTATTATTGAAATCCATTTGATATGTTTCTAGTCAGTATATGTTAGGTCACACAATTATTAACTTGAATTATGAAAATTGTTGACTAGGCCAAGCACATGTGCGGCACATGTTCCCGCCATTTGTACTTTTCAGTATTCTATCATTTTTAATTAGAATGTCGTATAATTTACATAATTCATAAAGGTCAGATGTCATTAACTGTTATATTGTACATGTAAGGATTGTAATTATACTTTATTAAGCTTTATTGAATGAATTATGAAATTACCGTATATACTCATCTGAATGCGCACTGTTGAATTACGTGCAGTTTGTATGAAATTACCGTATTTCCTCTTGTAAACACATTTTGTAAAATTGAGTCAGAAGTTAGAATTTGGTGCCTCGTCCTACAATAAAAGTGTAAACACCTAACATCTATCTTATTTTCTCCAGGTCAAGTGGCTATATGTAACATTTGGGGGCTCGTCCGGGATAGTTGTTTCCAAAGCCATGGGAGAAGAACAAGAACTAGAATTTGAGGTCCTGGCCAAGTTGTACCAAGCACCAGTTGAAACTCTTCGTGTCATCTTAAAGAGCCATCAGATCACCACATAGCCAGAGAAGACAGACAAATTTCTGGCCATAAAAGCTATCATCGCCTGGTTGGATCAAGAAGAAAAATCTGAAGATGGTAACTTTACAACTTTACTACTCCTTAATGATGCATTGACCCCAAAGAAAGTCACCATTAAGACAGAAAAAGGTTCGGGACCAGCACCAACACCAACTGTTGATACTAAAATCAAGCACCCACCTTTGTGTCATAAGGACTTCAAAATATGTGGTGAAATTTCTGACCGCCCTACCAGACTCTCATTTGTTAGCCTTATTAGACAGATTGAGGCCGGCATTCGCAAGTCGTACACTGAAGCAGACATAATTGATGGGGTCACCAGAGCCATTTCACCTACCCTACCTTTGAGAAGTTATTTGGAGGGACGTGACAAGTTGTCACTATCATCATTGCGTAAAATTCTTCGGTCACACTATGAGGAGAGATCAGCGACTGAGCTATATACTCACCTGACAAATTCTACACAAGGGAGGGATGAGCCTCAAGATTTTCTGTTAAAATTATTAAGCCTGAAACAAAAGATCCTGTTTGTATCCAAAGAAGAAGGAGCTGAGGTACATTATGATGAAAAGCTTGTCACGCCGGTGTTCCTACACACTTTGTATATAGGACTGAATGATGAGACACTTCGACGGGAAGTGAAACCAATTTTGGACTCTAAAGTTGAAGATGATGAGCTTATTCAGCAATTCAGCACTATTGTCGCTAGGGAAAAGGAGAGGAAGGGACGATTAACCAAAGCGAAGGTTAGCTCTATTGCAGAGGAAGTTCACAACTCTCCAAAGAAAGAACAAAAGCAGAAGGATGTCAAAGAGGGTGTTCTCTGGACCGAACTTCAGGAACTACGTGCTGAGATTGCGGAAATCAAGAAGCAAAGTTCCGCCACACCAAGGAGTTCATCAGATACAGATGGTCCCCGTAGATTCCAAATGGGCTGTGAAAAGTGTCGACAGTCAAACACAGATTCGTCATGCACTCATTGCTGGATCTGTGGCAGTGATGAACATTTTAAAGCTGACTGCAAACAGAGGAGAAGGTCGGGAAACGGGAGGGGGTCACATCGAGGGAGCCGACAGTGACTCAGAAGTGTGAAAGCTCCCAATGTGTTGTGAATACTATTCATTCTGACTTTGAGATACCAAGAAGTGAAGTTGAAACAATTTCTCTTAACATTAAAGCAAGACTTGTTAAACTTATTGGTGAAAAGTGTATTGTGACTTGCTATCTGGACAAAGTACCTGTACAAGCATTGTGGGACACTGGAGCCCAAGTGTCCATTATCTCTAGTCAGTTTCTCCAATCTCAATGTCCGAGTTGTGACGTACGTCCTGTTAGTGATCTGTTGTCAAGTGATTTGATTCTAACGTCAGCTAGTAATGATGAAGTTCCCTTTGATGGATGGACAGACTTAGAGTTCAAACTAGGACATAGTTCAACTTCCCTAAGGGTTCCATTTCTGGTATCCAGCTCACCATCATTAATCAGACCAATCATCGGCTACAATGTTATTCGTCATTACATCAACTCAGGTGACTGCTTAGATAACGCTCTAACTGGTGCACTTCCGGGAGTCAATTCAAAGACGGTGAACATGATAACTCGCATATTACAGGAGACTGAGACAGTGTATGATGTATATAGTGGATCGTCGACACAAGAAGTTCCGCCTCAGAGTTCCATAATCATACGCGCCTGTGTCAGGATTGGTCAGCGCCAGGGCAGTCAGTGGAAGGGATTGTTTACCCCTACAGTTGCTGAAGACAGTGGGTTAAGGATGGCCGAGGCCCTACTAACCGTTAGTGACAATAAACGTTCTGTGAGTTTTGTTAGGATTCCGGTACAGAACTTTACAAACTCTGTTTTGATCCTGAAGAAGAATACTCATTTAGGCACTTTGGAGGCTGTGTCTTCGATTGTTAGTACGAACTCTGTAACAGTGGATACCGTAAAGACCCCAAAGCCAGATAACAACACAGAAAAGTGGCATCCACCTGTCCCACTACCTACAGATAAACTTGGCACCGAAGACATCGCAAAGGTGAAGCAGCTATTGTATGAGTATTCAGATATTTTCTCACGTGATGAGGCTGACATAGGATTTGCGCCTGATTTGATGATGGACATCAGTATGCAGGATCCCAGCCCTGTACGACAGACATACAGATCCATTCCAAATGCTTTGTACAGCGAAGTGAAAGATTACATACAGGATCTGCTGTCCAAAGGTTTCATTCGCAAGTCAAAGTCTGCATTTGCCAGTCCCTTGGTATGTGTACGGAAGAAGGACGGTGGCCTTCGCCTTTGTGTAGATTACAGAAAGATAAATCAAAAGTCAGTAGCTGATAGTAGGCCTTTACCTAAGATCCAGGATGCACTTGATAGCCTTGGGGGAAGCAAGTGGTTTTCCCTACTTGACCAGGGGAAAGCTTATCATCAGGGAGTGATGTCAGAAGAAAGCAAGAAGTATACCGCCTTTATAACACCTTGGGGACTATATGAATGGGAGAGAATTCCATTTGGCTTGTCTGGCACCCCGGCCGCTTTCCAAACCTTCATGAATGATTGTCTAGAGGGCATAAGGGATCGATTTTGTCTGCCATATCTGGATGACACCTTAGTTTACTCATCAACAGTTGAACAGCACTTGTCTCATCTGGAACAGGTTTTCCTACGTTTTCGAGAAAAAGGGGTAAAACTGAAACCGTCCAAGTGTCATCTATTTAAGCAGGAAGTGAGGTACTTGGGTCACTTAGCTACTGGTAAGGGATATACTATGGATCCAGAGGATAAGAGAGCAGTCTTGAAGCTAAAAGAGAGGACACCGACTTGTATTGGGGATGTGAGAAAACTTCTTGGATTCCTGGGATTTTATCGGAAGTACATACCCGACTTTGCACGTCGTGCTCGACTGCTTTATGATTTGATGAAGAATCAGACGACCCAGAGTCCTCTTAAGGGCAAGACAAAGTCCAAAGTAAAGATGAAAAATGGGCAGGTATCATCACAAGTGAAGATCCGTTGGACCAGTGCCCATCAAGATGCCTTGAATGACCTTATCGATGCACTGACAAACCCACCAGTCATGGCTTATCCACTCTTTGACAAACCATTTGATCTGCATGTGGATGCATCCGGGGAAGGATTAGGGGCCATACTGTATCAGAGGGATGACCAAGGAATACCCAGAGTGGTTGCTTATGCTTCTAGAACACTGTCTCCAGCAGAGAGAAATTACCACATGCATTCAGGAAAATTGGAGTTCTTGGCTATGAAGTGGGCCATAGCAGACCGTTTTCGTGACTATCTGTATTATGCTCCACACTTTACAGTGTATAGTGACAACAACCCGTTGTGTTATGTTCTTACCACACCTAGGCTAGATGCCACACGACTTCGGTGGATTAGTGAATTAGCAGACTTCAATTTTTCTGTGAAGTACAAACCAGGGCCAAAGAATAGAGATGCCGATGGACTTAGCCGTATGTCTCTAGATTTTGCCACTCTCCAGTCTGAATGCACCATGGAGTCTACAAAAGATGAAGTGGAAGCTACAGTTAAAATGGTGGAGGCTCGTACCAGTAATAAGCTGCAAGGATTTGTTTCACCAGTCTGTCCAACACCAGAGTCTATTCCTGATGTACCAGAGGATGTCAAGGTTAGCCGTGAAGATTTGCTAGCAGCACAAGAGGAGGATGAAGCTATTTCAGTGGTGACCAAGCTTGTGAGGAAGGGGAAGCAACCTAGTGGAAAAGAAAAGAAATCTATGTCTGCTCAAGAAAGACAACTGTTACGAAGCTGGAAGAAACTCTATATAGACGATCAGGGACAACTTAAGCGCCATGTCAAGTTACCCACTGGTGAAACCAAACATCAAGTTGTCCTTCCACCTATGTATAGAAACTATGTGTATGATGAACTGCATTCTAAGATGGGTCATTTGGGGGCAGACAGAGTTATTGCACTGGCCCAGGAGCGGTTTTTTTGGCCACGGATGGCATCCGATATAACAGAGTTTATACAAAAGAAGTGTCCATGCATCAAGGATAGACCACCAACCATAAAACCTGTTGCGCCTTTAAAACCTATAATTACCACCTACCCTTTTGAGATGGTATCAATAGACTTTCTATATTTGGAACCATGCAGTGGGGGGTACGAATATATTCTCGTTGTGGTGGACCATTTTACACGTTTCGCTGCTGCTTACCCAACTAGGAACAAGTCTGGACGCACTGCGGCTGAGAAGATGTTTAATGATTTCTTCATGCGGTTTGGATCCCCTGATAGATTGCACCATGACCAGGGGCGAGAGTTCGAAAACAGTTTCTTTGCTAGACTACAGGCTCTAACTGGAGTGAAACATTCTAGAACCACACCCTACCATCCACAGGGAAATGGTCATACAGAAAGGATGAATCGCACGCTACTTGGGATGTTAAGAACTTTACCTCAAGATCACAAGCGCAATTGGAAGAACCATCTTAACAAGATGACCCATGCCTA